AGTGGGGGACGTGGTGGGAAGCATTTTGGGGGGGGTCCCTGCCTGGCCGGGAGCCTGTCTATCCCCACTCAGGGAGGTGGGGACATCCCGGGGTGGCCCCCTGGCAGCCTGGTCCAGCTCTGACCCCCATGCTTGGGGCTGTGTGTCCCCCCCAGTGCTGCTTGTGGCTGTGGGGGGATAGCATGGGGGAGAGAAGCTGGGGGTGGTGGGGACAGGGTGGGCTGGGAGGGGGCTGGGGCCACCCTAAGCACAGCCCAAATGCCTGAGCCCCACTGGCCCTGGCGAGGGCAGTGACACCCTGGGGTCTGGGTGCCCGTGCCTGTCCCCAGGGAGCCCAAATCCTCCCCACGGCCCTGTCCCTGCCAGCAGGGCCCTACTGCAGGAACTCTGCCCCTGCCACCCCACTCCTGGTGACAAACTCCAGCACCGTGACCGTCCTGTTCAACAGCACCAGCCACCGCTCGGGACGAGGCCTCCTCCTGTCTTACGCCACCTCGCAGCACCCAGGTAGGGGGGCACCCCCCAGGGATGCAGCCCCCCTGGGCTGTGTCTTGGCCCATGGGGGTGGCACGGCCAGGGGAGGAGGGAGCTCCTGGCTGACCCCTGGGTGGGCTCCCATCGCCCCGAGTTCCCTGAAGATCCACGTTCTCCCTGGCTGGGGGCACAATATGGCAGAACCCCAGGCCACCCAGCCAGGTGGGACCCCCCACTGCACCCTGGACCCCCAGGTCAGCTGGGACCCCAATACCAGGCAGAGCAGCAGGCATGGGGCTGATGGCTTCAGGGGTGGAGGAGCCATCCATCACTGCCCCTCAGGGACAGGGTGCCTTGGGGCTGAGGTGGGTGCTGTGGGGAGGGTGGGGGTCCCTCACCCTGGGGTGTCCCTGCCTTGCAGACCTGGTCTCCTGCCTGGTTCGAGGCACCCACTACACCCAGGAGCACGTCAGGTGAGTGGCCAGGGGGTGTGAGTGGTCCCTGCTTTGGCTTTCCCCCCCCCCGGCATTGCTGCCGGTCCCCATCAGCCCCGGTTTCGTCCCCATTCCTCGCCCAGGTGCTCGGGCTGCGCTCACCCCAGGGCTCTTGGGGTGCAACTGTGGTGGGAGGGGGAACAAACTGGGCGTGCAGAGGGGATTTGGATGGGAGGAAGCCCTGACCCCCCCTTGCTGTGTGTTTCAGTGTGTACTGCCCCGCGGGCTGCAAGGACATCGATGGGGACATCTGGGGCAACCCGAGCCAGGGCTACCGGGACGTAAGTGCAGAGCCCAGCTTGCCCCACGGGGCACCCATGGGTGCAGCTGCTGGGGAGCATCCCCAGCACATGTGGCTACTGCTTGTCACCCCCCCCAGCAGACTGCAGGGGATGGGTTTGGCCATGGGGTGCCCAGCCCCTGCGGGGGGGGGCTGCTCTCAGCCCTCCCCTGCTCCCTGCAGACCTCGGTGCTGTGCAAGGCGGCCGTGCACGCCGGGGTGATCGCGGACGAGCTGGGCGGGCAGGTCACCCTGTCCCGGGAGAAGGGGATCACGCTCTACGAGTCGGCCTTCGCCAATGGGCTCCACTCCAAAAGGTGGGCAAGGGGGGAGGGGGGGCTGGGGACCCCGGCTGCACCCCGCACCCAGCCGTGGGACCCACCCGTGCTGACACCGGGGACCTGCCCCCCCT